CTTATTTATTATTTCTTCATCGAATGTTGAAATTTTCTCTGCCTAATGCTTTTTTTTTACTTTTTTACTTTGCCACTCAACTTTGAAATTTGAGCTCAGTTGTAATGTGACTGGGTGATAATCATTTGCAATATTTAGCGATGGATTTTATCAAGAAATGGGGCAGCATATGTTTGACGCTACTAATTAGTAAAAATATGAAAAATTCATTGCAAGAAAAATGCAAATTCACGATATTTTCCTTAGTAAAAAGCAAATAAACCACACATAAAAATAAATTTTATCCAAAATTGTTTAAATGATTTGGGCAAAATACAAATCACTCAAAGTTCAAAATCAATAACTAGATCAGACTGTCGATAAGCCAAATGAAAGTGATAAATCTCAGAGAATCGCAGTCACAGACGTTAAGCTGGTAATTTGAAAACAATTTACTACTGTCCAAATATGGAACTTTTGCCCATGTGTAGGAGATGATGATCTTGAATAATCTCCTTGCATAAGAGCACAAGAGAAAATATTTGGATGTACAATTTCTTTTTACTACAGCTAATATACAATTGTGTGTAAAGCTTACTATCTAAAGTATCAGTATATATAAGAAAAGCATAGTTGAACACGGTGGACTATACTCTGTGGACTATATATACTGTGAAAGGATCAATTATTCACAGGGTTTTAATTTTGCTTATTTCGCTGACTGGAAAATGAGCTAAATTAAAACCCAGTGAATATGTAAAATTATCTAAATGATAAAACCGTGAATTTAAAACCCACTGAATATCCCTGAAATGGTAAATCAGTGAAATTTAAACCCAGTGAAAATTAGTCATTTTACAGTATAACGCAAATAGTGATGATCCTACACTACATAGTGTATGGCACTTGAAAGTGTAAAAGTGAATGCATGTAAGTAATACACTCTGTATTCACAGCAATCTGTGATAAACATTACATTGGTATAATGTATCTAGATAAGAAAACTTAATGGATTAGTAATAAAGCCACAACCAATGTAGCATTACAGCAAGTCTCAGAAGTATTGGGGCAGCCATTTTGCAAACTTGCTAGCAAATTGGATAACTGCTTGGGTTTTTACTAAACAGTTGGCTTTCGAATCTCGCTGACATCGTCTTGTGGTCACGCCCACTTAAGACAAATCTATGTAACAGTAGGGGACGATCCTCATACTTTAGGAGCTAATAGTCGACTGTCTTACAGTGGGGTGGCGATTTCGCTTTCAAATATACCAGGGAAAGTGTTCTATGCT